GATTTAAGCCCAAACCATTTTTTCGTGCAATTGGGTTCTCTCATGTTTGGCTCCTAAAATAGCCTCCCAAATCAGGGTCGCGTTTCAAGGCACCCAGAACACTCGTATCGATGTACTTGTTAGCCATCAGATACTGTGTGAGCCGGCGAGCCATGACCGAGAAGAATATCTTACCCTCAACATTCAACAGCGAGATGGGCCTGAATTGGGAAAGACTCTTCGAGTCCTGCTCTTTGGGAATGTAGACACCATTCGCTTTTTGCCACTCTGGACATATGTGTTTACGGATCCACGCTTGTCTCAACAAGACGTGAAGCATTTTTAGGATTTTCGGGCAACGGTTGTAAAGAACGTACGTAACACCATTCGGACCTGGGGCAGATTTGCAGCTGGCCCTTTTCACAACTTCCTCAACCTCAGACCAAAGGGAAGGTATCATTTTAAATGGTACCTTCGGCGACTCAGGCTGCTTGAGGCCGCTAAGGATCTCTAGATTGTCATCGAGAGGCTCTCTCCTCTTTTTGTGAGAGTACATCTTACGTAGATGTGACTCAAGCTCTTCCTTACTGACAACCAGAGTCCCAGACTTCGGTTGCTCGAATAGACCTCGGGCAAACTGATACGGGTTCCTAAAGAATTTCTCTCACTCCCTTTTGGTTCTTCGTCGGTTTGTACAGAAACGCTCAGCGCTACAGAGGGCACTGTGTCTGTTCTTTAAATGCAACCAGACTTCATGCAGCCGTAATTCATCATTTTTACTTCAAATTAAAACCTTCATGAGAGGCATTTAACACCCTCAGCGAAACCAAACATTACCGTTTTTTTCTTTCTTAATAACCCTAAAAATTGACCAAGCCCCATCCATCGCTTGGCACCATCGACCTACAACTCAATCCCTTCCTGAGTGGCCAGCTTCTAAAAATATAACACGACAGTTCTCCTTTTTTCTACAACTTTAACAATTTATGTACGGCTGGCACTGAAAGTATAAACCAAATCCTGCGCGGTCGGAATTCGAAACAATGACACAACGGCTACCATTTTGCCATTAATTCTCCTGTTCTTCTTCACCTAAAACCCTCATTGAGCGGCCGGAATCTAACAGCCTCAACGAAACCAAACGATAAAGTTGTTCCCATGCATATAACCCCTAAAACTGCGCCAGCCACATCCGCTGCACTTCTGCCACACGTTCTCCTTTTTACTACAGCTTAAGCCATCCCTGAGAGGCTGGAATTCAATACTATGACACAACGGCCGTATTTTGTCATAAATTCTCATTTTTTACTTCAAGAAACCCGCATTGTGAGGCATCTAATACACTCAACAAAAACAAATATTACCGTTATTTTTTTTATAACCCGTAAAAATGCCCCAGCCCCATCCGCCACCTAGTACCGCCGTCTATCTATCTATCTATCTATCTATCTATCTATCTATCTATCTATCTATCTATCTATCTATCTATCTATCTATCTATCTATCTATCTATCTATCTATCTATCTATCTATCTATCTATCTATCTATCTATCTATCTATCTATCTATCTATCTATCTATCTATCTATCTATCTATCTATCTATCTATCTATCTATCTATCTATCTATCTATCTATCTATCTATCTATCTATCTATCTATCTATCTATCTATCTATCTATCTATCTATCTATCTATCTATCTATCTATCTATCTATCTATCTATCTATCTATCTATCTATCTATCTATCTATCTATCTATCTATCTATCTATCTATCTATCTATCTATCTATCTATTTCAACCACCGACATATAGTATGTTCTCACCATCCCCTCTATTGTAAATGACGTATCTTGTGACGCTTCGCGGTTTTGACAATGTAACACTCCAAGTGGGGTCAGGATCTTGCACTGTTTTTCTGCTGGAAGTATGGCTGCAGCTCAAGCCGTTGAGATGTGGGTTTGTGTTGCCATCCACTGCTTTCTCTGCCGTGAATCTGATACCCCTGATCGATCCACTGAATGTAGTATCTTGCGTTGCATTTTCTTTCAGAGCAACATTACGGCCTGGTAAATATTTCAGTACAATATCATGTACATTATTCATTTATTAGTATGGAATCCCACATGCATTACGCTTCTGTATACACTAATTAGATGAGGTTACCCATACACATTATGTTGTTAACACATTATGAGCGGGGCTAATATTAGGAATTTTAGACATAGGTACAAAGCCTTGAAAATGGAAATTGCTGTTCGCTTTCGGCCACGATTCATTCACACGATTTTCAAATTTGGACAGGAATATACGGCTTCGTTCACAAAGCTACAGATTTGAGTGCTTTGTTTTACATGATGACCTGCTGCGTATTTCGTGTAGAATATCTTTCTTGTCTGTCTGCAGCGGGTTATATTACAATTTTCTGACAGTTCCAAGTAGCCTGCTTGCGTTACATCTGGCGATGTGCTTGATGCAATCATTGTGTTTGTTGTGTCTGTGCGTGTATACTGCCGGCGTGTCGTGTCTGACTACTTCCATCGACGACAACTTGATTTTTTGAGGAAAAGTAGGGGGGGGGGGTGAGTGGTAGGCAAGGTATCAGTCTTGACGCCTCTAGCAGTTGTATTGTGCTGTTACTGTGTTTGCATGCTTCTAGACGTTGCAGCAATAATTGTGTGCTCATTTGTTTTCAGATACTGACAGTGATAGCCATTTTTTATGTGTTTCACTGTCACATGAACGAAAACATTATGGCAGAACACGTTTACAGTTATAACCTCGACTAATGACATCAGTATTATGAATATAAATACACACAAAATCATTTGCATTACTAATGCAGAACTTATAGACACACATAAGAACAACCGGGTTACAAGGGTTCTATTCAGGTTTATCACCCTATCACGTCCGGTGTGAGATTTCGTAGATAATTCCCCAGGACAGTGCTACAGTCTCGGGCAGAATTTTCTAAACGTTTTTATAGTCGCGGCACCTTATTTTCAATTAAAATGTTTACACGGCGCCCTAACCTAAGTAAAGTATAACTATCCATATGTAAAAACAAAAAAACAAAAAAAAAAATAAAAAAATTAAAAAAAATTAAAAATAATACAAATTAGAAATAGTTGTGTATTTTCAAATATTTCGCGGGGCCCCTGTGAGGAGGTCAAGTCTTCCTGGGGTGCCGCGGAGCACATTTTAGAAAATCACTTGTTTAGGGAGTTTTGACCTGCCTTTGTTCGGCGTGTATAAGACGGCCTGCAACTAGTGCAGAGAATCGTGGTCATATATGTATAAATATATATATATATATATATATATATATATATATATATATATATATATATATATATATATATACACACACATACATACAGTGTGCCGACAAGTGTTTGTGCTTCGTTTGACCACATCCGCACTCTGTCTCCAACACGAAAGTGCGCAGGTGTCTTTTCCCCCAGAGAGAAGGGAGTAATCTCTTCTTTGTGCCAGGGTAAGTTTTACATGCTTGACAACAGAAAGGTCAAGGGAAATTCATATGAGTCGCCGTGGCGTAGCAGCTAGAAGCTCCTTGGCGGAGCCAGACATTTTTGGAAAAATAACCTAAACTCCCTGGTCGACCTAGCCTAAAGTGGGCAAGGGATGCAGTCCCGGGAAGTAGAGACGACCAGTGTGACCACACTACCCATCTTGTGCCCATTAATCTATTAAAAATATAGGTCTATCCCTGTCTGCCCTGCACGTCTTAGGCGTGGAAAAGGGACCTTCACTTTACTTTACAAGGAAATTTATGCTTAAGGCCAAGTCATAAAGTAACGACAGTTTACACACACGGCAGAGTGACTGTGACGAACCAAACGTCAGTAACAGACAGTGAAAATTATGATGCAATAAATGAAAACAACGTTGAAAAGAACCAACCAATGACACAACTAGAATGCGGGAGATCTAGTGTTTAGTGATAGTTTTTAATGAACAAGTGACTAAGACTAACACTAAACCTACTCGACCCCCCTTTCCGCCCCCACCTCATACTGTAGGACAGTCCAGCGGAATTCCCTACACAATCTCGCGCCGGTCGAGATATGGTGAAAAACCCGAATAGTTACCTCCTCATCACTTTGAGTCCTACACATTCACACACTTACATACAGGTAAAATGAACATCATACAACACCCATATATGTGTTCACTCTGTTCAACACCAGTTCAAGAATCCAATAAATATTCACAGTTAACAAATGGCTAATATTAATTACCTCCACTGATGTAGACTGAGCAAAGATGACCTGCTGAATTGCCGCCCAGAGTCACGTTGTATATACAGCTTGACAAATCACAGTGTATATCCAGGGTGGTGCTGTCGACGTACTGCTTACGCTGGTTGGTACAGGCAAAATTACGCGACGTGTCTGACAAGGTCACTGCCAGATTTTTTAGGTCAGCTGATCCTAGAAGTATATTGGCAACGAGATTTTTGGTTAAATAAGTCTTTACAATATTCCGTCCAGGGCTCCACTGTTGCTGATTTCTTATTTAGGATTTGTCTGTTCTTTTCCTCTATAATCAGTATCCTCACATGTTTGGGGTTTGGTTAGTCTTTCTATTGTCTTGTAGGCTGCCTTGTTGCTGCCCAGTTTTATACCCACATCAAAGGACTCATATTGGCTTCTAATCCATTCTTCGTTCGCCTTCATTTTGATCCTTTTTTTTTAGCTATCCTATATTGTTCTTCAGCTGCTAGAATTAGTTTTTTTTTTTAATCTTTCATTTTAATTACGTCGCACACCGGATAATTTCGAGATGTCACCCGTGGTTTACGTAGTATCTTCTTGTTAATTGTGATTTCTTCTGTTGCATCCAAGTGTCTCCATTGACGATTTGTTTCAGTGAATTCACTCTTTTTTCTAGGACAGCGGTTCTCAACCTGTTGATAGCGACCCTTTTGTGGGTCGAATGACCCTTTCACATGGGCCGCCAAAGACTAAGAAAAAACACATACTGAATTAAGTTATGAAGTGGCATCAAAAATAATTGTATGGCAGGAGGTCGCCAGGACACGAAGAACTGCATTAAAGGGTTGCTGCATTAGGAAGATTGAGAGCCACTGTTCCAGGAGTTTCAAAACGACAAATTTGTCGGCTATAGTTGTTCAGTTTAGATCAAATCTTTGTTGTGTGTAGCTGTTACAGTGGTAGTTCTTTCTAAGCTTGAATTTAATGAGAACTATATCATGGTCGCTGGCAGTGTTAGCTTCCAGGAAAGTCTTTGTCTTTGATTGGTTGATGCTAGATTTCAGCCATTCTGAAACAATTACTAAATCAATTCGGCTTTTTATTGCTGTCTTTATTGTATGCCGTGTTGTTATAACTGCTGGCAGATTAATTTTTAACTGCTGGCAAATTAATCGTTAACTGCTGGCTAATTCCTTCAGTCTTCTTCCCCGGTCATTTGTTTCCAACATCGTGCCCACAGCCCAAGACCACTGTTCATGCGCATCTGTCCCTATATCTTCCTATTTCAATCCCCTAAGACAATTATAAGATCTTTCTTTGGTATTTGATTTATTACTCCTTGTAGCTTTGCATATAAAGTATCGATTTCTTATTTATCGTAGTTTGTGTTTGTCGACTGAAAAATAGAGATGTTTTTTATCGTTTTTCAGTAATACGTACAGTGATAAAAGTAAAATTTAAAAAAAAGTAAAGATTTCTTTTCAGGCATTTAGGCCAGGGCATATGGGAAGTGCACTCCTATTTTTACACGCGAATCGGCACTAGGTGGGTAATGTGGTAACATCCACGTGTTTGGTGATAATTATTCTGTTCATAGGACTGAAGCTCATTATGATTTCTGTTCTGTTTTCACAAAACACTACGTGTTGGTGTGTGTTTTCCTCCTCCGCCGTACCAAATCCTAAGTCCCTCATCTGTTGTGGTTTCACTATCCCCGATCAACTAACTTTTGCTAGGACCAGTTCACCCCATGCATATTCAAGCTAGTGAGTTAATTATTTAATTTTTCTGTTTGCATATAACGTTCTTACATTTAACTCTCGAAAACACCATGCTCCGTGGGTATTTTTAAACTTTCAACCAACTATGAATTGTTTCGATTACCCACCAAACATTACAAAAGGCAAACCGTGTGTTGGTGGTGCCTATCTCCTCTCAAAGTGTTTATATGCCTTTATACACTCCCCGCGTTTATCAATCACTTTCTTATACATTTCTGTGAGCAGCGCCATCTATGTCTTCCATACCAGGGTCTGGTCCTTTCTGTTTTTGAATTCGCGATGGCAATTCTGACTCTCAGCCATAAGCAGATGGAAAGGATGGAAAGTATACAGAACGAGGCTATGCGCATTAAATTTGGGTGTACAAGAGATACAGCATGCAGGGCTATGCGCTACCTTCTCGATTTTCCGACCATGGAAAACAAAATACAAATTTCCCGAGTTCGTGCCTACCTCACAGTCAAGGTGGAGACAGCATCCATTACATAGTCAAATCCAGAAGAAAAAAGGCAGCAGGTTAAAAAGAGGCAAATCGTGGACTGGTCATTCCGAGGACATTATTTTACAGGTGTGTTCACTTGAGAATATAGAACCCGACAAGATGTGGGTGCAAGTGCACTCAGAGTGCTGTACCTCTTTTTATGTTTGCATCGAACTAGACAGAAAATGCAGACAACAGAGTTTGGTTGCTGCAGAAGCTCATTTCGAGGACGCTCTAGCTCTAGAGGGTGATGCTGTTATTTACACAGATGGTTCTGTAATCAGCCACGTAAGAAGCTCCTGGGCTTTCACGGCTCAGTTTGGAGGGAGAGTTGTGAAGGAAGATTCTGGAGCTTTTGCAGTAACTACAAATAGTATGACTATAGAGGTCATGGCTGTCACTAAAGCAGTAACATGGCTAGAGACACAAATTTTTCACTATGGCATGCTTTCTCAGTAACTCGATGAGTATGCTTAGGAAGATAGAGAAGGGCTGGGTCCGAAAGCAGTGGTTGGGATCTCTACAGAATTCACGGCTGACAAGAATAAGTTTCATTTTCGTGCCAGGACATGGTCACGAAATAGCAGTGGTGCACCAAGGAAAGCCACTCTATCGCGTGGAACATCAATCAATCAGGTGCCGTCTCCACAATGAAGGTTGGCTGCAATGGATCTCTAACAAGCCCTGTCTCTTGCCCTTGATGTACACTCACTCATACTGCTGTTCATCCATCCCTTGATGTTATCCTCCCACTTGTAACGCTGTCTGCCTTTTGCTCGCCTACCTTGAACCTTTCCCTCTAGGATGATCTTTACAATACTGTTATGTCATTTAATGTAGCCAAAATATTTCAAATATTTGTCTCTTTTTTATTTTACCTAGCAATCTCTTTTCATTCCCAATTTCCTCAGTACCTCTGTATTTGATAGCTTTTGTTTTCATGAAATACGACCTAATCTTCTGTATATCCACATCTCCAAAGAATTGATACGAATTTCCAGTTGTTTGTTGATTGTCCATGTCTCTGTGCCATTCAGTAAGGTTGAGAATACATAACATTTGACAATTCTCATTTTTAATGTATTGCTCATTTCTCTTGATGTCAGTAACTTTTGCATGTTGTTTAAAATGTTTTTGGTCATCCCTATCCTTTTCTTGACTTCTGTTTTACTTCTGCCGTCACTTGTTATTACTTGTCCAAGATATAAGAAATTTTTAACTTGTTCCAATTTCACACCGTTCACTGTGATATTCATTGTTAGCTGATTATTTTCTTTGCTAAATATCATGGTTTTTGTCTTTTGCAAATTTATATCTAATCCAAATTCTGCACTCCTTCTGTTTACTTGCTGCCCTAGGTCTTGCAACTCATGCTCACTCTCTGCTAGCAACACTGTGTCGTCAGCGTGGAACATAGCTTGGCCCAAAACAAGCGTATATAACTATCGGCAGTGTGTGTAAGCAAAAGACATCATAGTATTCACGCAAGTGCAGTTCGCACGAAAGATCGGACTAGCGTCTATGAAATGACACAGTAGTAACGTCGTAATCACAGACCGGCTTTCTAAGCTTGGTACTAAGGAACATACTTATTTTTTACTTACTTTTTCCTTTCACGTATGCCGCTAAGCGTTGTGGGGAGATGCAAGTTCCTGTCATAAGCAAGGCGGGCAGCATCTGATGTTCTGAGGCCATGCTTTTGGCAGGTTTCGGAGACCCCGTCAATCCACCGTTTCCTTGGTCTTCCTCTTGCCTTATATCCTGAGCTTCTTTGGTTGAAAATTTGAGATGTTATTTGGTCATTTTTCATCCTGGTTAGATGTCCAAACCATTTCATTCTTTGATGTTCTATGTAGTCTAAACATGGTGTAGTTTTGACAGTGTTTTTAATGTCTATGTTCTTTATCCTGTCTAGTCTGGTCTTATTCGCTGCTTTTCTTAGACATTTCATTTCACAGGCTTCTATTTTTCTTTCATGGGTCTTGTTTGATTGTCCATGTCTGGCACTGGTAGCAGAGTGTTTGGAATGAAGATGGTGTTTATCAATTGTCTTTTTGGTCTTCATGGTTTATATCTGGATGTTTAAGCAGAGGTGATAGTTGGTATGTGACAGCATTTGCTTTCTGTATTCTTGTTTCTATCTCTCTGTCCATTCTTCCATCCTCTGTAAATATACTGCCCAATTATTTGAACTCTTTGGTTTGCTTGATTTTGGCACTTCCAACATTTATATTCAGTGGCCTGTGTGTTCTACTGATCTTCATAACTTCTGTTTTTTTCTGTACTGATTCTCATATTATGTTGTAAACAGCTGTTGTTGAGAGTAGTCATATGTTCCTGTAGATCATATTCATTTTGATACAGTATGCTTTGATCATCAGCAAAAAGTAATTCGTTTATAGCATACACGTCTGGGTTTGCTTCTACAGTGATCTTATCCATGTATGTTATGAAAAGTAATGGTGACAGTACACATCCTTGTCTGACACCAGTTGTGACTTTGAACCATTCTGAAAGACCACTAGATGTTCTTACTGCACTTTCACTTTTTTTCATAGAGGGCTCTGATGTTGTCTAATAATTGACCCTGCACTCCGTAATCGTCAAGAATTCTCCACAGCACATCTCTGTTCACACGGTCGAATGCCTTCTCTTGATCTACAAAGACCACGTTCAGCTCTTTTTCGTATTCGAGTGTCTTTTCACAGACTTGTCTTAGTGCAAATATGGCATCAGTGCAACCTCGCCCTTTCCTGAAACCGAATTGTGCTTTACTCAGTAGAGGTTCAACCTTTGCTCTTATCCTACCTTCTAAGATCTTTGCATACATTTTCCCCACATGACTTAGTAAAGATATTCCTCTATAAGTTCCACATTCTCTCTTGTTTCCTTTTTTCTTCCAGATAGGTACTACAACTGATCTTTGC